GGGTGAGAATTCCCAAATACTTGTAGCTGAGTCTAAAGTTGGCCACAATCACAACTGAGGCTTTTTTCTTAACCTTTTGTGCAAGACAGAATTTATGTGTAACTTTTCCTCATTCTTCAAAACCATCGTTCATGATTTTTTTTTCTGCTGATAAAGGACATTCAGTCTACTTAGAATAAACTATGTTAAGAAGGAAATCAAAACTGACACATGATCTTGCACTGATTTTAAACCAATGCTTTTCTTGCATTCTGAAGTTGAATTAATCTCCTGAAATCTTTAAATAATTGATATAATTTATAGAATAGCAGCAGGATAATAGAATTTTCTTTCTAGTACTTGAAAAATCCTATTTTAAAATATAAAAGAGAGTTGAAACATCACTTATCATACTGAAATTTGTTTCAGACACAGGCAGGGTGTCCAACTTTTTTTTTTCTCTGTCACACACTGGAAGAATAAGAGTTGTCTTGGACAACACAATAAATACACAAATACATTAAATACACAAACATTTTGATTAGCAAAAAAAAAAAAAAGAAGAAGAAGAAAGAAAGAAAGAAAGAAAGAAAGAAAGAAAGAAAGAAAGAAAGAAAGAAAGAAAGAAAGAAAATAAGGTTCCTGAACGCTTTCTGTGATATTCAACAGCACAGACAAGCAAACTCAGCATGGGGCCCACAGGCTGCGGGTTGGACACCTTGTGAGCTATACTGGGGGGCAGTCTCCCTCTGTCCTCTTCCCTCAGTGCCTTCCTCCCGCTGGTGAACATTTATGGGGTGCTTACCATGTGGCAGACACATCTGAGCCCTGCTCTGGCTATGTCCCAGCTATGCCCACCCTACTTCAGGCTCTCCAGATGTCCAGCCCTGCTCCTGAAGCCACCTGGCTGGCAGGACTAGATAGCTCTGGCTCACTCCAGGGTCCCAAAGGGATGTAGAATTAGTGTCTTCCTCGACCACAGAACTAGTGCAGGAAATTTCATGCAACTCCTAGGGGGACACTGGCTGCCACGCACTCCTGTGCCTTAGTGCCAGGAAGAGGGTAGCAGGCCCTGACTTAATATGGTGCTGGAGGCGGCGTTCTACGGAGAAGAGCAGAGCAGCCAGGAGTCCGGGTGGAGATACTGGGTTTGAACTGAACTCTGCCGCACACCAGCTCTGTGATCTGGGGACATAATTATGCACTTGCTGATACTCAGGTTTTCTCTTCTGTAGAAAAGAAATAATGCAGTGTGTGGCAGAGAAATAATATAGTGTGTTTTCCCGAAAATAAGACCTACCCAAAAAATAAGTCCTAGCAAGATTTCTATGCATTTGTTAAATATAAGCCCTACCCCAATAATAAGACCTAGTGATGGGCATGGCTATGCAGCATATCTGCACAGCCACACCATGCATTTCTGCACAGAGAGGAAGACATCCACTGAAAATAAGCCCTAATGTGTCTTCTTGAGAAAAAATAAATATAAGACAGTGTCTTATTTTAGGGGAAACATGGTACTACTTACCTGGCAGAGCTGTGGTGAGTTCCTGGCCCCACAGTGTCCACAGGAACATCACAGTGCAGGTCTGTGAGGGCAGCTGGGATGTGTGTGGAGCCTAGGCACTTGGCTTGTAATTGACTTACACCCTCAGATTCCGAGTGCCCCTACATGGCTTCTCCCTCCCTCCCTCCCTTCCTTCCTTCCTTCCTCTCTCTTTCTTTCTTTCTTTCTTTTTTCTTTTAAGACAAAGTCTCCCTCTGTGGCCCTGGATAGAGTGCTGTGGTGTCATAGCTCACAGCAACCTCAAACACTTGAGCTCAAGTGATCCTCCTGCCTCAGCCTCCTGAGTAGCTGGGACTACAGGCGTATGCCATGATGCTCAGCTAGCTTTTTCTATTTTTAGCCAAGATAGGTTTTGCTCTTGCTCAGGCTGGTCTCAAATTCCTAAGTTCAAATGATCTTCCTACCTCAGCCTCCTGAGTAGATAGGACTACAGGTGGCTGCTACCAAACCTGCCTAGTTTTTCTCTCTATTTTTAGTAGAGATGGGCTTTTGATTTGTTCAGGCTGGTCTCAAACTCCTGAGCTCAAGAGATTCCCCCTATCTCGGCATTCCAGGTGCTAGGATTACAGGTGTGAGCCACTGTGCTTGGCCAGCCAACCACCACCTAACTTTGCCTTTTTTAAAAAATTTCAGAATATTGTGGGGGTATTGATGTTTTGGTTATATGAATTGCTTTGGTACAGTCTGAGTCAAAGTTATACACCTAAGTGTGCCCTTGACCAGACAGTGCACTGTACCCAGTAGTTGTGAAGTTACCCCTGCCCCCTGCTTGCTACCTACTGATTTGCTACCAAATGTGTACATGGGAGTTGATCGATTGTTTCCAACTTAATAATGACTATATGTGGCTTTTGTTTTTCCATTCTTGTGAAACTTCACTTAGAAGAATGGTCTCCAGTTCCACCCAGGTTGTTGACAAGGTACAAGTTCACCATTTGTTATGGCTGAGCCATATGCCACGGCACACAACTACCACAGTTTAATCCCTCCCAGACCGATGGCCACTTGAGTTGGCTCCACATCTTTGTGATTGTGAATTGTGCTGCAACATTTGCACACATGTGTCTTTTTCATAAAACAACTTTTTCTCCCCTGTAAAATCCCAGTAGTGAGACTGAACTTGACCTTCCTTCTTGTTTTGCTTACTGTTTTTCTTGCTGTCTGTCTAGAATGGATACTCTGTGAAGACAGAGCAGGGCTGAGCACACAGGAGGTGCTTAGTCAATATATGTTGAATAAATAAACAAAGTGCAAGGAATATCAATCAAACCTGCAAAAATTCTTACACCATTCCTGCCACATTTTACATAGGAGACAAATAGCTTACTACTTATCTAGAGTTTCTCAATTTGAAAATTTTAGTTAGAGTTATACTTGTCCATGGTAAAACTTGATCTAAAATCTTTAAAAGGTTGGACATGGCTAACCATGGCTCACACCTGTAGTTTCAGCACTTTGAGAGGCCAAGGCAGGAAAATCGCTTGAGGCCAAGAGTTAGAGATCAGCCTGGGCAACATAGCAAGACCCCATTTTATATAAACAATTAATATTTTGTATTTGTGTATATTTTATATCATATTCTGTATGATAAAATTTTTGTATAAATAATTGTATAAATCTGTAGTCAGCTACTCAAGAGGCTAAGGCAGGGAAATTGTTTGAGTCTGGGAGTTCAAGGTTATAGTGAGCCATGATGGTGCCATGGCATGCCAGTGAGACAGAGTGAGACTATATTGAAAAATATTTTTTTAATTAACGTTTTTTAAGCCTAGAACATTTAAGTATGCTTAGCAATAGAACACTCAGTCACACTAACAAATAAAATATTACTGACTTTATCACAGACTTCAGGATTTTGAAAGAACAGGATTTGAATTTTTTACTTGTTACATAGCAGCTGTGTGACCTCAAACAAGGTCCCCAACCTCTGTGAGCTTCAGTTTTCTCAGCTGTAAAATAGATACATAACACTTACCATGCCAGGTTGTTTTGAAGATGATGTATGTAAAACTCCTGGCACATGGTAGATAATATTATTTTTAGAAAGACGTTTTTGGGTCTTGAGCCCCAGAAACTATTAAAATGAGCATTTATACAATCCATTGCAAAAGCTGGTAAAGTCTACCCAAGCCGCTTCTTAAATTTTAAGTAGATATTTGTATTATGTTAATTATTTTCCTATAGAAAACATATGGCATATCTTTTTAGCCAGAAACTTTTGCCTGACATGATTTTTCAATACAGAGGGTTAAAATGGGCCAATTCCTGAAGAAGCTGAATGGTATTTTCTTACCAGGAGTAGGGCGTCCTTTGGAGATGGAAGCAATTAGAAGGCCAGCATTCTGACTATCGTGTTGAAATGATTTCAGTGTGACCTGAGAAACTTAAAAAGAACAGAGTGTCAATTTTTTAAATTTTCAACTCAGATTGCCCAATTTTCTAACATATTTTCTTCCCTTGCTCAGAGATAATTTTAGAAATGATTAAAATAAACTAGTAACGTCAATAGGCTTGGACCATAGGATGAGAGCCTCGGCCCTGGAGAGAATCTTCACTTTATTTAATTGGGTAAATCTCAAAGGGGGAAACCCTGCAAGGACAACTGAAAACCACCCAGGGTTTGTAAAACTTCGAGGTGTGTCCTCTGACTTCATGAGGCTCTGGGCAGCCAATACCAAGGAGCTTTATGCCACTGAGCCAGGAAAACGCACCATAACTGGCCTCTACTTGATTCCTTCCCATAGATGATACAACAAGGCTTGAGTTCCCATAAGAGCCTCTAAGATGCGTCACTTTGCTTTTGCTCAATCTCTGGGATTTTGACTAGTAGGCACTTTGTAACCCAGAGGTGAATGTCACAAATGACTTCTCTCTGCTGCGTTCACGCTGGCAAAACTCCCGGCCAGCCCTGCCGGTTCATAAAAGCTGTCAGAGAGGCCATTAGGGAGAGCTTCTGCCCAGGGAGCAGCCTCGCACTGACTTGCTTCTGGTCTGAATCCAAAAAAGTCCGGTGAGGCCTAGCTCCACCTCTTCCTCCTGATAATTAAAAGCTGCCAGAGGTGACATTAAAGACACAATTCTCCCAGCTGACGGGAGCCATTCCTGAAGATGGCTCTGAGCTCTGCTTCCCTGAGAGAACCACAGCCCTGTCCATGCGG